ATTTGAGATTTGGTAGTAGTAGTAGTAGTAGTAGTTGAGTTTAACGCGCTATTCTGTGGAAGAAAATAAAACTCACTATAGAATAGAACTTGTGTCTTGAGACACTGCCATGGTCACTACCTAAATCAATCGAAAAAGAAACGAAACGAGAAAATAAAATCGACATCAGTATAAAAAAAACTGATATAACAATTTTTGTTTAAAAATAGCCGATACTCACTCCCGTGGGAGACGCCCATGGTTGATATTCACGGCTTCTTGTCGTAGATCGGCTGCTCTCCGATTGAAATCCGGATTGATTGGAATATTTTGCAACATACATAGTCCTTTGTATATCATATTGCGTGATGCATTCAGGTCACGGTCCAAAACAATAGTTTGTTCGCGTCCATTGTATTGTTGATTCGCGATAGAATGTCCATAATGCTTGAGATCCGGTTCCAAATCGGGGCGATGTTTTTGTCGGAATGTATGATGAATTTTGCCTATCCACTCATTTGGTGCCGGGAGAACATGATTGCGGGCCGGTTCGCAGTTGTTGCAAACTAAGAAACTGATATAACAGTGGCCGTGAGAAACGATACAATTTAAATTCAATTACATTTTTCATCTATAAAAACAATGCAATACAAAAAAACTTACCGATCCTTTTTGTTCACATTCTCCGGATTCTCTTGTCGGTCTTTTGGTCGATCTGTGATTTTTTGACATCGACTACAGAGCATCGATGTGCCACGTTCATCGATTTCCATTATGTGCGCATATCGATCAATGGTATGTGTTATGAATGCTTGTGGTGTTCTACAATGTCCTTTGATCGGGGAATTGGCTGCGATTTTTGCATTTCCAAGCGCATAAACTATGGACTGTTGTGCTTTTGGCACTTCTTTTTCAAGTTTAGTTAAATCACGGGCAACTTGATGAGCGGCTTTTTGACGTCCGATATACTTGTCCAGATCTAATCGAGCCACACGCTGTTGATATTTAACTTCGCATGATTTTTTGAACGTACTCAACTGGTATTCCAAATAAATTTCGTGATATGCGCTTGCGCACGATGGCATCTCACCATATCGATGGTAAACTTCACGAATATCTCGGCATTCGTTTTCCCATTTGCCCGTGTATTTGCGCAATTTATGCTTTCGCCTACGTGCACCAGACATACCGTGCCACTTTTTAGCCGTAACTTTGTAGCTCTCTTCGAGTGTGGTGTCCAAATCACGGCTTGTTGTTGATCTTGACACTTTGGCACCCGGATCATCACCGATAATCTTTTTTATTTGGCCAGCATCAAATGCAGCTCGAATAGCAGCTGGACATTGTGGCGGTGCTCTGTTATACGTTTGGCCTTTCTTGCCCATTTTGCTTTTGCTTTTGCTTTTGCTTTTGCTCTTTGTTTGGTCCGGTACACCCGATACAAGTGGATCACGTTTTCGACGAATCATTCGAACGCATACTGTTACACCATCGGTGGTAAAAGAATTAGCGAATATTTGATTCCCTCGATTTATTTTCTTTAAATTGACATATTTGTCCCAAAATGTATCGTAATCGTCGTCGCTCCAATGTGGTATGCGATTTTTATTCACAATTTCAGCACTTCTATATGAATGCAGTAGGTTTGTGATTTCAACAAAACCTTGCGTATCGAATCGCACATGTTTTCGCTTGTTCTTTGGTTGCGGAATGGCACGAAATGTTCTCCATTTGACTTCATTTTCCGGATTTAAATTGTGTTGGTGAATAAATCGCTGCAAATTTATCAATTCATAGACGTGTTTATAGTATATCTTTTCGTCTGTCATTGTGTTCAACCATCCACGTGGAATGACATGATCGTCGTCCTCTGGATCAATTTCGTACTGCTCGATACGGTCCAGTGGTAATAATGGACGCAATTCGTTGTAATAGTCGTCCAGATGTCCACGAATATTACCATTCAACTCGATTTCCGAACGCTCATCAATCAAATATTCCATCAACACATCGACTTCCTCTTCCACAATATTTTTACGCAAAAAATATTTTCTGATGTGACTTGGGCCATGCATATTGACATTGTTTTTCATGTTGGTTGCACATAGCTGGTCTGCGTACTTTAACGGGACTGACGCATTTTCAATTTTTGGCCTCACGGAAATGTTGTGCCGTCTTAGATGATTTTCAAAATTCGCATCCAATGGATAAGCAGCCATATTTTGGCAATGTTTCAATGCAAAAAAATATTTATGTGCATCAAATGGCTTTAAAAATTCGTCTCGAATGGCTGCATCGTTTTGTCCATCGACCAGTCTACCTAATTGGCTGTGCATGTACAACAATGACAATCGTGTCAAATCGGACATCTGAATAACAAAATCATTAATGATTTTCATCAAATTGCGCTTCCTCTCACTATCTTTATTGCGAACAGCATTGCGTGCATTCCGATTTGCTCTCAATGTGTCTTTGTTTCGAGTGCCACCCACACGATTCTTTTCATTGACACTATTTCTTAGAAATTGGCGCAGTGACATTTTTATCGTGAACGACTCCACATTTGGATTGGCCTCTTCGCCTTGACGCCGTCGATTTCGTTCGTTCTTAAGAACAAATTCTACAGGTGGTGCAATTGTATGCGCTCGAGTTGTTCGCTTTGCTGGTTTTGGTTGCTGCTGTTGTTGTGCAG